TACTGTCTAGGGAGAAAATATAATAATATCTATATGTAATTTATATAATATAATAATGTCAAGTGAAATGATAAATCTCAGTGAGCCACTTCACTGGGAGAAACTGGGAAGTTCCAGCAGTGTGCAAGTGGACGTTGTGCTAATTTCTGATTGTGCTTTTCCAGTTGCACTCAGTTACTAAATAAACCTGCCACATTGATCACTAACCAGTATATTGAAGGCTCTTCCCTGAGACCTCAACGAGTCATTATTATTATTTTAAGTGGTCTTAGTCTTAAGTAGTCTTAAAGAAATCCATTGCAATCACAATTTTTATGAATACCTGGAAAGAATTTTAGTAAAAAACAAGCTTGACTTTCCCTTCAAGACTCCATTGCTGAGTGCTGTCACAGCCACAGCTCTGTTTTTTGCCATTAGTGTGTGCCAAGGGCAGCTCTGTGGCTACCTGCCCTGCCTGCCTGGTGGCCACGCCGGGCTCAGGGCTGTCCTTGTTCCCTGCAGGGGGCTGGGCTGCTCTGCCCGCAGCGCCCGCGAGGACAGCTGGTTAAAATCCCTCTTCGTGCGCAAGGTGGATCCCAGGAAAGACGCCCACTCCAACCTCCTGGCCAAAAGAGAGACCAGCAGCCTGTACAAACTGCAGTGTGAGTGATGGCTCTGTGCTCCCAGCACCTCTCCTCCCTCTGCCCCTGCCCGCCTCACCGCCCTCTCGTTGTTGTTGTTGCAGTTCACAATGTCAAACCTGAATGTCTAGAGGCCTACAACAAGCTCTGGTAAGTGGGGGAGCTCTCTTTTCACCTTTTAGGCACGTTGATTTGGCAGACATCATAGTGATGTAGAGGGGAGGTGACAAAAAATCTGCTTTTTTAGCATTTGGTATTAAATAGATCCTATGAAAAAGCAAAAAGTCCTGTAGTCAGTTCACCCCACCTCCCTCTCGGCGTTGCCATTTCCTGAGCTGCAGTTGAGGATGATTCCTGTTGTCATAGTTATGTAGAGGGGAGGTGACAAAAATTCTGCTTTTTTACGATTTGGTATTAAATAGATGCTATAAAAGAGCAAAAAGTCCTGTAGCCAGTTCACCCCACCTCCCTCTTGGCATTGCCATTTCCTGAGCTGCAGTTGAGGATGATTCCTGTCGTGAGAGCTTTGGTGACATTTGCTGAAGCAGCTCTCCCCCTTCCCTGAGTGGTCTTAAAGTTCCTGATCCCTGCAGGGAAAGGTGGAATGTTGCCATTCCCACTGCAGCTGCCAGGTTGAGGATGGGTTTTGTCTGCACACTGGAAGCAAAGAGAGATCACTGCTAAATAAAACTCAGATGTTAGAAACCCAGGGGTTGATTTCCTCTCAGCTCATTTATATCCCTCTGCACAAGGCCTGTGCTGAGCTGCTCCCAAGGAGTTACACAAATCTTGCATGGGGGTCTCTGCACTGGGGTGATTCCCTCCAGAGGGAGCAGTTCTGGGACAGCTTTCCCAAAAAGTTACAGCTTTAGAACACGTAGGAATTACTCACATTTGAAATTGACTGCTTTAAGAGTAAAACTGCAGAAATATTACTCCTTTTCTGCCTCCACAATCCACCCCTCTGGAGCCCTGAAAGAACTGTGTGTTTAAATTTGGGGCTGGAGTGAGCCTGGCACCCAGCAGTGCTTTTCTCACTGACAATAAAAACCTTCTCAGCATAATAACACCTCTCTGCAACCAACTTTGAAGTGTGAGCACAGCAGCTGGGCTGGAGGGAGGGGAGGAAGTCCCAGCTCCCAGTTCATGTCCTCAGTTGTTCCTGGGTGGCAGCACAGCTCATCTGTCACCTCTGTGTTGGGCTGGATAACCCAGAGCTGATTTCCCTGCTATAGAAGCATAAAAAGCCACTAGAATAACATTCAATTGAGGTATTTTTAGCTTTTTTTGTTGTTGTTTAAAAAATAGATACACAGTAAAGGACAATTAGCATTCAGCCAGCTTGCTGTTTAAAAGCTGAATATAAACATGTCCAGTTATGCAAGACGGGGAATCACTTCTCTGCAATATTTCATGAGCTGCCTGAGTGTTGAGTGAGAGCAGAGATTTCTGTTTTCAAGGAAAGAGACAAACAGCAAAGAAAGAAACTGCTGACAGCAGTCAGATGAAATATCTGTAGTTAGATTGATTCTTTCCAAAGCAAATTGAAGTATTTCAGGCAAGGAGACAACTTGAATAAAGTAATAAACAAAATTAAGCCTCTCTGAATTTCCCTCCTGCCTCTCCCTGAAGAAGAAAAATGAACAGGTTAATTCTGTATCAAATAAAAATGAGAATTAGTCATCATCATCACCAGGTATTAATAAATAATGTAATGAAGACAATTACAAGAATATTTCATGAATCACTGTGGTTAAGGAGCCCTTCTGAAGAATTAGGGACAGCTTTTTTTAGAAGGTGTTCAGTGGGCATTTTTCCTTTAATTTTCAACAATACATGGTAGAATTATGCAATAATTTCCCATTCCTCTTCAAAGCTGCCTTTCCAGGATCTCATTCTGCTTTGCAAAAATGAACTGGTGGTGAAACATCCTTGACAATATCCTTGGAGAGTCATTTTATCATATTATTTACACTGGCTAGTGAGAAAATGTCGAGGTACAAATTGGTAATGAGATTTGCTCAAGGTTGTCTGGAAAGTCAGTGGCAGAAACCAGAGGAAAACTCATCTCCAATGATTCCCAGCCCCAGCCCAGCCTACTTTTTATTCCTTGATACTGTGCAGAGACTCATTGCCTGTGAGCCAAACTGAGGAAGAAGGGTAATTATTCAGGGAAAAATAGAAAAGCCAGAGTTCAACCAGACTAATTGACTTAATCATCAAGGCACAGTGCAGGGAAAGCTGTCTTGACTGAGTCAGCAATCAGCAAAACTTAAATTTCCTCATGTTAATATAGGCCACTTCTAAAGTCTGAAAGAGTATTAGAAATCCTGGGAAGAGTCAGACAGAAATTTTGTATGGGAGGTATTTTTAAGGCAGTCCCACTGTTCATTAGTGGGTGAGTTGCCTCAAAGTAAGAGCACTTTCTGAAATCAAAAAGCAATCCTGTGAGCTACAGCCATTATTTCATTTACCAAATTATTTTTATTCATTCAGCTCAGCAGTTGTAACTGGTTTAGAAGAGTGTACTTTCATATTTCTGAGTTCTCCCCCCTTGAGGGGAGCTTTTCCCCAAGCAAAGAAAAGCTTTTCCCCAAGCAAAGAAAAGCTTTGTCTCAAACAAATCACCCACGTAGGCTGAGTTTTCAGTGAGGAATCCTGATATTTGTTTTCCTGATGTGTTGGATAACCTTTTAGACAGACATAATTATTTAGATACACCTAATTTACTGCATCCAAAGATGCAGTAAATGTTATATATTACAGAAATGTTATAGATCTTTGTTACAGATTTCTAAAAAAATGGTGACACTCACCTTAATTCTCCATGGGGGTGTAGCCACCTTCCCCCTGCATAGCAGAATTTGCTATTTCAGCTTTCTCCTCTGCAAAATAAACTTGTGAATGTTCCTAGCATGATGCTGTGTTATACATTTATCAACTGTGGCCTCCCTGAAGGCAATGCAACCCAGTGTCTGTGTGTTCCTTGTTTTCAAGTCAAGAGGTGCTGCCAAAGATTCATGAAGAAAAACACTACCCTTGTGCTCTGGTGGGGACTTGGAACACGTGGTACGGAGAGCAAGATCAGGCTGGTAGGAGATAGAAGTACAATGTAAACCCATGTGCTTGGCAGGTTTCTTCTTTTTAAATCATCTCTGCTGACACCCAAACCCCCTGTGTGCAGTGAGGGGAGTGTGTGCATCACTCCTCAGCTGTCTTAAATGTGCACTGCTTGCTTTTGTTGGACAGCAGAGCCTTCATTCCTTCAGTTTTGTCTCGTTGTTGGTGTATTTTTGTGTTTTCCAGGTGGTGATGGTTGGTAAAATTAACAGGTTTTGGGGATATATTTGTAAAATACAATCCTGTGGGCACAGCTCCTGAATACTTCTGGGTGACTCTTGCAAAGCCAAGAGTTTGTCCCTCCTTGAGCAGTATAAAAGCTTTGTTCAGCCTTTCAGGCTGTAATTGATGAATATGAATGATAATGAATTGCAAATCATTCCAAGCCATCTGCATTGTAAACTTAACATTAAACTTTACTGGGGGAAAGTAAAAACCTTTCTGTTCATGTTCATACAAGGATACTGCCTAACTATGAAAACAAACTGGAGCTAGACATGATTGAAGAGCTGCTACAGAGGTAACTGCAAAGAGCCCGGTGTAGAGAGAAAACCTGAGAAATGCCCTGGGAATTGGAAGGAATGGGAAGCCACAGATCCAAATCCATAGAGGTTCTGTGAGAGCTGTGCCAGGCTCGGTGCTGTGACTTCCTAATTAAAAAATAAACTCCTGCACACATCAATTCTCCCTGCACTGCCAACATATGGCAGTATTGACACTGAACAAATGCAGAGAATTAACAGCAGATGAACCAAACAATGTTTGAGAACAGCCCTGGAAGTTGAAGGGGAATTGGGGAATGAGGACAATTGAAATGGGAATTCCTCAGGCAAATCCCAGTGGCTGCTTTTGGAACAGATGAACACAGGCTGGATCTGTCACTACATCCCCAGCCTGCCTTAGAAATGTTCTTGCAACACTGGAATAAAGCAGATTCCAGTGGGGTTTGATTTGTTCAGTGCTGGGTTAATATCAGGTGGATCCATCAAGTCTGCCCTGGGGGTGAAGCAGCAGGAGCAGGAGGAGAAATCTGCTCTCCCAGGGAAGTGCCTCCCATCAGCCTGTGGAAAAGGCACAGAGCTGCTTAAGAGGGCAGAAAATAGATTTTATTTTTCTGTGAGGTGAAACTACTGCCTTTCCATACTAAATGCTTGTAAATACATCTTTCTATGATTTATTAAAGGGGTTTATTCTGATTTATTAAAGAGTGAATGCTTTGAAAAACTGGAATTGTTTTTATAGGAGAAATCCCAGCAAATGTTCAGTTTTCTTCTGCTTTTATTCATGTTGAGCTCAGAAATAACATTTGCATCGTTTTTCATGTCCTACAGAAAGTGTCTTGCTTGTGTGCTGGAGTAATTTACTGAACTGAAAATCTGCCCCTCTACTGCTCTTAGATGAAATTGGTACAAAGCACGTTTTTGGAACTAAGTCATCCTCTTCAGCTGAATCTTAATTTCAATAACAGTCATGACAAGTCATCACATCTTACTAGCATGGCAACAAAAAGTCCTTTCAGAAATTCCCCTATTACCCTCAGAGTAAATTGCAAAATTTTCCAAGAGAACCCCTTTCAAAAAGCAGATGATTCCATTATCCCTAAAATAATCCAATGTGTAGTGCTTTTATTAATGAAAAGCTATTTTCAAACCTGCTGCCTGGTTTCTATTTTTGTGTAATTTTGTAGTGTGAAGAGCATTTTATAGTGTGATTTTTGCATAAGATTTACCACTGGTCTGGGACATCCCTGAAAACACTGAAATTTTCTCTCTTTCAGTTCATTTGTGGAGATATGAAGGAGGTTACCCAGCTCTCAATGAGGTCATGAGCAAACTTCGTCAAAATAAGGTAAAAAATGCTGATTTTGTTACTCAGAAGCGAGCAAAGAATGGGCAGAGCAAATAAAAAAAACAGATTTAAATAGCAAAGTGTCTCATTCCCTTCCTGTACAAGCCCAGAAACCTCTTTGAGAAAGGATTTATTGTCACACTCACATTTCATTCCCGAATAATTCACCTGTAAATCCTTGGAATTCTCAGATTCACCAGGGAGAATTCATATTCCTTTCGGGATTTCGCTGTCCCACAAGCCTGATAACATTAAAAAAACCCCAATCAAAGCCACATCTGGTGTCCTGCTGTTTGTTGTTGCAGAATTTGACCCATTTGCTGTGTTATTTTTTAGGAATTCACAGAATTCCGTAAGGAGAGGGGTAACATGCTCCTCTCCAGGAAGAACCAGCTCCTGCTGGAGTTCAGCTTCTGGAATGAACCTGTTCCCAGAGATGGCCCTAACATTTATGAACTGAGATCCTACCAACTCAGAGTAAGTCCAAATTTGATTTCTTTCTGATTTTTGAAGCTCTCTGCTGTCCTAAAACCTTTGGTAGGTTTTTATGGCAAACAGAGCTTATCTGAAAAATCTGTTTTTTATCCAAGCTGGCTCTCAGAGTGTGGGGTCTGAGGTGAAGGCAGGCTCCAACAAGATCCTGATAATCTGCAGGGCTGAAACCCTGTGGTTGCTTTGAGGGATGCTTCAGAGATGACTAAGAGGTGGTAAACAGAGCAATTAGAGATTATTTTAATATTCTTATCACTCACAGGAAGGGATTGTGTTAACACAGGGTGCTTTCCATGCAGAAAGGGTGTGAAAAATGTATAATATTTTCTTTTAAACTGCAGCTTTAACAGCGTGTTTTGTTTCTGCAGCCTGGAACAATGATTGAATGGGGCAATTACTGGTAAGTGTTAATTAATTAAGGTAAGTGTTGCCTTCAGCCCTGGTTGAGAGGTGCAGGTATAGAAAAAGCAGGACAGGAGGTGCCAGGGTGGCACCAAAGCCACCAAAACCTCCCTGTTAAGGGGCTGCTGCTGCACTTGCACCCCTGGTCAGACAATCCTGTGACCCTCTGAGGGGAAAAAAAAGGAATTTTGTGCACAAACAACCCTCTGTGGTTTGGCTTTGCTTCCCAAAACCCTTTTAGTTTGCTGCAAAAACCCTGGATTTTCAGCAGAAAGCTGCTTGGGAAGAGTGGCACTTCTTCTGGGACACTTGGTTCATCTTTCCCAAACCACTTTCAGCTGAAATTTTGGCTCTTTGAGCTTTCAAAGTCAAGTTGCTTCTTGAAAAGCTGCTGAGCAGCACATTTGTAGTTTAATATATGGGTTAGCAGTATTTCAGACAGTTTTCTATTGATTATTTGCATGTGGTTTTGTCTTATTTTTAACCAGTGTAAGCTTATTTCAATTTGCACTCGCTGTCCTTGCAATTCTAGTGGTTGATAGTTAAACAGTTTGGAGTATTTTCAATTATTTGGACAAAGGTGAGGACTTAGATTTCCAGACTCATCATTGATACAATTTTTTCAGTTACAGTCATTCGAACAATTAAATTTAGTTTTTTTTTTTTTTATAAAATAGGCACATCTCTACTGCTAGAAAATCTGTTTTATAAGATACAACAAGAGAAATATTTACCTTAATTTATGCAAAGATCTGCATGAATAAAAAGTGGTATTCCACTACTACAAAATCTGTGGAATATTAATATGGCAAAGCTGACATGACTGAAACGTAAGGATTTAGTTATAAAATCAGCTATAAAAGGCTACTTTACACTGTGCCAGCAATTATTTTTATCCTGCATTTGGCTGAAAAATTATTAATCCAAAATTTAGTCAAAATGTATCCTCCAATTTTAATGCATCCTAACAAGACACAGAGGTAAATCTTAATTACTTAGTGCTGAAAACAAGCATAATGCAGCTTTTTTTCTTACTTCTAATTACTGAAGTGCACAATAAATTCAGTTTAACATTCCAGCTTCCCTTCCACTCTGTTTTTTTCCCATTTTCCAATGTTTTTTTCCCCATTTTCCCTGATTTCCTGCCCAGCTGTGCAGGCTCTGATGTCTCTGTGCTCCCCTGCAGGGCTCGTGCGATTCGGTTCCGACAGGACAGCAATGAAGCAGTTGGGGGATTTTTCTCCCAGATTGGACAACTCTACATGGTCCATCACCTCTGGGGTAAATTCCTCTTCCCTGCTCTCTTCTCCCACTCAGCCAACCCAGTCACTTTGCCCAGGAGGAAATATTTTTACAAAAGGCAAAGGAAATGTCTTAAAAGTCGGGGTAATTTTTTTTTCCCCAATTTTTTAAATTTCTTATTTTGCTGATTTTTTTTAACTTGTGTGTAAGCAAATTTGTTCTTCACCAAACAAGAAATGAACATTTCCTGGTTTGTTCTGTTTCTCCCACAGTTTCTGCTGTCTCTTTCTCATTAGGAGCTCAGTGTTTGCTCTCAGTCCCACAGCCATGACCCTGCTGTCCCAGCTCATGCTGAATCTTTTTTTTTACAATTTCATTTCAAGCCTCAAATCCCCCACACCTGCAGAAAGGAAAGTCAGGCATTTATTTCCATTCCTGCATGGAGGTGTTTTACCTCTCTCTATACATTCATATTCATAAACACCTTAGTGTTTTTTCAACTTGAAAAACAATAATTTGTTAGGAATGACCCAGTTTTTAATTCATATCCCAACAATCCAGAATTTTATCTTTCAGCAATCTGGCAGCCTTCATGTAGAGCTGTGCCCCTGCATTATCTTACCTGTGCCCAGGTATTTTCTGTCTTCTCCAGCTCCTTCTGTTTGTGCTGCTCTGGGAGCTTTTCTTTCTGGCAGAGAACTCCTGATTTTTTTCCTTCCTGCTGTTCCCAGCCTCCTAATTCCTCCTTGGCATTCTTTTAAGGGATTTCTTCCTGTGCAGAAGGGAAAGGAGTCACTTTGTGCTTGTTTTCCCAGCTTACAAAGACCTGCAAACCAGGGAAGATATAAGGAATGCAGCGTGGCACAAACCTGGCTGGGATGAACTGGTTTATTACACAGGTAACCCATTAACTTCTCTGGAATGCTGGGGGCAGACTTTGGGCTGTGCCACCCTCTCTGCTCCTCAGCACATCCCACTGGGGGAAAAAGTTTTGTATCTCAGGGGCAAATGTGTGTCTGTGTCAGTTTTTATCCTGTAAAGGAGCAGAGGGACATTGCACTGAGCTGTAAAGTGAATTTTGCAGCTGGTTGTACATGGAAAAGTTGCCCAAGTGCTAAAAATTTACTGCATTAATACTGAATTTTATAGCAGCATTTCTGTGGAATGTGGAAGAACAGATTTATGTAAATGCTTGTAAAAGATTTAGGGAACCAGGGGTGAAATTTACCTTTATATTAAATAATTACTTTGAGTATTTAATGAAATACAGGAGCCTTGTTAAATGCATTGCTGGGAAAAGGGAATTTAGACTTTGGAACAAAAAGCCAGGAGAGCTTTGAGATCAAAGAAAGCTGTCACAACAAAACTCCCAGAGATGTGCCAAGCATGTCAGATTTGGGTTCCATAGGCCACATTTCAAAGGAAGTTACACCACAAAAATGTGGGATCACTTCCATTTTGGTGAAAAGAATGGAAATATTTGTCTTCAAACGAGCAGAGAGATGATATTAAAGTAATTTTTTCCCACAACCACCATATAGAGGGGTGATTACTGAATGTGCTGAACTCTGTCAGTGAAATTAAAACCTCTCTCCATTTTTTTCAGTGCCCCTTATTCAGGAGATGGAGTCCAGAATCATGATACCCTTGAAGATTTCTCCACTTCAGTAAAGTCACTGATTTTCTTGTGCCTACATAGATGAAGTGACAAGTTTTTGTCTTAATTTATGGTATACACTGTATATCATAGTCTGAAATATAAAAGTACTGTATTGAGCTTATAAAAGAGACCTCTTTTCTTCAGAACCCACGACCTTCTGCTCTTAGGGGGAAAAAAAAAAAACGAAGAAGACTGTGATTAAAAGGTTGGTGAATTGAAAACAAGTCCAAATCTGTGGGCCAGGTCCCCAGGGAATGTGTGACCTACAGGATTTGAAATCTCCTGCTCCACAGGCACTGCCCAGAGCTCAGGAACAGCATTGCTGTGAGCATTTAATGACTGCAGCTCTCCAAAACAAACGTGGGAGTGAAATGAGAAGCTCTGGAGAAATGAGAATTTCATTTCCAATTGTGAAACGAGCAGCTCTGGGGTTGCTGTGAAATCACCCCTGGCTGGTGGAGCAGGCCTGAAATCAGCAAAGCTCCATTTCCAAGCAGGCAGTCATTAATTTGGGATAATCCTGTGTGGCAGGGGATGGATTTTGGATAGCAAGGGGCATTGCAGGGTCTCTGAGCACACTTTTGTGTGGAACCTCCCCCAGGAATGAATCCCACGCAGGGTGAGCCACGTTTCCCCCACAGACACTGCCTGAACACCCTGCAGGGAATCAATCCACTCCAAAGCATTTCCCTCCCCAAACAGCTCCAAAATCTGGGAAAAGGGGTTGAATTTAATAAGCAGTGCTGGTTCAGACTCAGAGAGGGGCTGCAGTTCCCGTGGCTGGGTTGGTGTGTGAAGCTGGGGTTGGCATTTCTGTGTACCATGGTGTCCAGTTCTGTTTTGGTTTCACTTTTAGGCTAGAATGTATCCACACTTTTTGGTGTCTGCAACGATGTGAACATCCTGTAAGTGACATTAATATTCTCTCTCTCTCTCTCAAGTGGCTCCAAGAATCAGTGTAACATACTGAATGTACAAATCAGTTCTGAATGTCCAGTTTGTACATTTCAAGAAGTTTTCAGGAAGAACATATCAGTCAATAAAAACCTTTTAATTTTCACTTTTTGCTGGCATATCTCCTATGTATTACACCACTTGTGTTTTCTCTCCTCTTGCAGTGTTTAGTATGGAAAATTCAGAATATTTCAGCTTAATTTACCCATATCACTTCTCTGGGTAGGGAACAGCATTTCCTATTTTCTGCTGTCCTTCTCCAAAGTGAATTTACAATCTCTCCATCACATCCCATTCTGCCGAGTGTTCTAGAGGCTCTGAATGCTGTGGTGATAAGTACAAAACACTTTTCCTGTTGAATTTTTTCCACAAATTATGCTTCATTTTTCAGGTGTGCTCTCTTTCCTACTTACATGAAATACACTGCTCTCATGCCCCCCCTTGAATTTCCCCTTGAACAAAGTCAATATTTGATCTGGTTCTTGTCTGGTTTTATATTTTCCTCCTGTTGCCAAGTGATGGTGGGATTTTACTGAGTCACATTCTGTGCTGTATCAGCTTGAAGTTGCTCAGTGGGCCAAGGAAATCATTTGAGCTGATCCTCCTTGGAAATCAGCCCTGAGCACTGATATCACCTGGGGCTGCCATTTCCCCAGACTTTGGGGCTACTCTTCAGCTGCAGAAAGAAAAAAGGGATGCCAATATCACCTTCCAGTCCTTTTTGTCTCTCCCAGCATCTTCCCAGATTTCTTTTCCCTGGAAAATTGTCCTTGTAACTCCTACCCAGCAATCTCAGCCAGAGACAAACAGCAAAAAACATTTTTGGAGCTACAGGATTTTTGTGTTCGATGCAATCCATGTTTTTTACCTTCACCAGGAATTAAATTCTGCCTGGCACAGCTCTTGTTGTCCAAAGACCACAAAGTTTTGCCTGGATAAGGGATCAGAGGAGTAACTGGGTGTCCTGTGGGGTGACATCACTGTGGAGTCCCTCACCCACTCCCAGCATCTGAATTCCCCCTGGATTTCTGAATTCCCCCTGCCCAGATGTGTTACGGATGAGCCTCCCCTCATTCTGAGCTTCCTGCTTGTTCTGGCTGCCCTCAGGGACAGATAAAACAGATAAAACCTGATATTTTACCTGCAGCTAAAGCAGTTCCTGTTATTTTCCTTACAGATAACAGTGTAAACTCCAATGGAAATGAGTATTCCAAATCTTCCCTTGGCCTCCCTTTGCCTGAGCTTGGTTTTCCCTGGTTCTGTGAACACTCTTGGGATTTTCCCTCTTGATTCTATGGCTGAGTTCAAGTTTTCCTTAGGTGAGCAATCCCTCAGCATTTCTTACAGCACAACTGCTGCAGTTCAGAACTGAAGTCACTTCCCAAAGGTTGAGAAGTGGGGGAGCAGTTCCTGGAAGGGCCTCTGGCAAATCTCAGCTCGTTCCACTGCAATGACACCATTAAAACTCAGGTTTAATTGTCCTGGAGAAGGCTGCAAACTGCCCCTCATGCAAATACATAATTTAAAACAACTCTGCCTCACTGAATAATCACATTTAAAGCCTTTTTATGAAGGCTGGTGGTCAAAACACCCACCTGGAGCCCAGCTCCTCCCTGTGTGACCTGTGCTGCTCCCCCAGACTTTGCCCCTCTGTGCTGGGATGTGTCTGGGCAAATCTGTGTCACTGAAACTTTCCTCCCCCTGCTCCATTCCCTGCTGGGAATTTTCCACTATTTCACAGGCAAAACAGCTGAGCTCTCCCTGAGCTCAGCAATGCTCCTGCTGCCTCCTGGGCTAGAGGTCAGCCTCGATATTTGCCCAGTGGAAGGGGAGGGAGGCATTTTATTTTTTTTTCCCCAAGCCAGAGTGACCTAAAGAGCTGTTGTGAAATCCCTGGCACAGCCCCACGTTTCCATAGTGCCCCGACTGGCAGCAGCTCCTGCTGTGAATGTTAACATCCCTGCAGGGCTCCTGCCTGGGGCACTGGGGGAACTGCAGAGCCCTGAGCCATGTCCCAGGGCCTGCAGCTCCAGCTCCGTGGCAGATTTATTTCCTTTGTGGCCTTTTCATTCCATAAAAAACAGCAAACAAACTCCTGAACTCCTAACTGTGGGATTGCACAGAGGAAAAGTGGGAGCAGAAACTCGTCAGAGGTGCCCTGCTCGTGCAGCCTTGCCTGAACAGAAGCAGGATTGTCCAGGAGCTGCCCTGGGAGCTGGCTGGGACTTTCCTCAGGAACAATTTCAAAGAATTTTACTCCCAGAAGTTGTGGGGAGCACTGCCAGCCATTGTCTGCTTGGCTTTTGTGGGGTTTGCTGAAGCCTCTGCAGATCCTCTGGGGCTCTCACGTGTCTGCCTTGCTCCAAAAACCATCACAAGTTTGGTTCTGAATTTGTTTTCTTTTAACTCTTCTCTACTATTTAAATGCTGTTGTAACCTCAAGGCAAAAACATTTGACAGCATCACTGAGAGCTGCAGCCCTCACTCTGGGCTGGGGTAACTCCTCTGTCCCCCATCTCCTCCTCACAGAATGAACAGAACCAGGATTTATTTGTTGGTGATGCTTTAACAATTGAACAGCAGCTGTCATGTGGCACCTTGGTTTAATCATCATAAATCAAGGAAATTCAGTGCTAATTGTGAAAAGCAGTGATTATTATGAGACAATGTGAAATTTTGGATGGTAGGGACATCACTTGTTTCTGTTCCAGCCAGAAATTGTGGTGGGTGAAGGAGAATTGCCACACTTCAATTTCTGGAAAAATATTGGGGCTCTTTGTAGGCACTTAGAAGATAAAAACCTCAGCAGATATTAAATGTTTTTATATTAAATCATGTCATATTTACCCATCTTTCTGCTGTGTGTTGTGGGGATTGAAGGAAGGGGCAGGTGTGTTGTATTTTAACATTGATAAAGCTTTTTACATCCTCACAGGTGAGATTCTTACAAGTCAGGGACATAAAAGTCCCACAATGTGAAAAACACTCGGGAGAGTTGTCAGCATTTACCAGGAGTGTTCTCTTGGATCAGACACTAAAGAAACTCCTTAAAAAACCAGGATCCATCAGCTGCAGCTCAGAGGAGTTCTTAGAACAGGTCAGGCTTAACTCTGGCAGAGTTTAGGGGTGGTTTATCCACACTGGAGGCAGAGGAAGGGACTGAAATTTCCCAGAATTTCCTTTCAAGGTTGATGAATTCACTCCCATCTCATTACAGCTGCTGGGGGTGGGTTGGCAAATGAATAAAACA